TATGGATGGTCCACTTTAGATGCTGTATAGATACTTAATTTACTTTCGAGTTACATTCAGCAAAATATCTACTAAATTGACCATAATTTTCTTTAAACCTGCTCTAATCCTAACCCTAACCTTAACCTCAACCCAAAACCTAAACCCAACCCTCACCCTGGTCCCGGTCCCAGCCCCAACCCTGGTCTTAATCCTGACCCTACCCCCACCACTGTTTAGAATCAACTGAGTTTCAACAGATAGTTTAACAATTCTGTAGAATCAATAGGAGACTATCTAAATAAAGTGAGACCTTTTTAAGTACTTATTTAGGGTCCTATTTAACTACACTCTGTCCTTTGCTAGAGCTTCATTTTGGAATATTTTACCTGATGAAGTTTTCTTTTTCTTTTTTCTTAACATATATTGTAAAAACCTGAAATGTCACCGTTTTTTCCAATACCGATAAGCTCTTCTTTTTAGTCAGAGATGTATTAGAATGTCTTCTTTTCTACATTAGAAAGAGACAAACCTCCACAAGTGTTACTGTAATGTTACAATCAGCCACAAATTTCTTGTTGCGCAGTTAAGATGATTACTTTGAATATTCAGACTCTTCCAGTGTTTGAGCAAATATGGCACTTTTAACCCAGACTAACAGACACATTTTGTTCAAGGTGGGACAGTAGAGAGAGGCCCTTTATGAAAGGAGCTCATCTGAATTCTGGGCTTTTCATGTGAATCCCCCATGGCGAAAAAAAGCTGAATTCCCTCGGGGGTTGAGATTTGCAGGTTCATATGAATAAGCATGTCTTGAGGTATGTTTGAGTACTTTACAATACGGGACCCTCTTGGAGGGGCAGCCCCTCCCTTGTCCATTTTTTTTCCTCCCCACCTTTGCCTTTTTTGTCTACTCTTACTGTTCTGTTTTTATGTGTTTATTTCTTTTTCTGCCTCTCCTTCAGTCTCTCCATCTTTTTTACGCACCCCTTTTCTACCCACTCTTTCCCTCCCTTCTTTTTCCCAGCTCCTATTTCACCTCTTTCTTTCTTTTTTTTCCCCCTCTCCTTGGCACTGGTGTTCATCCTGTCACCCATAAAATCAGCATAAAATTGACCCAGCTCTGCCAGATCAGATGAAGGAGTTGGACTCGCAGTCCCTGGGGAGAAGCAAATTCAGTTTTGAGAAAGAAAAAAAAAATCTTATAAGACAAGGTCCGTGAAATCTTGCAATGGGATTATGTAACACACCTCTGTCTGCCAACTACCCCATCCCTCCCCCCACAGTCTGTATTGGAGTCATGTTTGTTTGACATTGTGAAAAAAGTCTTGCTGATAATGGAATGTCTGAATAAGACAAAAGAACAGGAAGAAAGACGGAAGAAGATTGTTAGTTTTGAGCACTAATTCATCTGAAAGAGTGGGAAGAGAGATGTTTAATCCCAGAGAGAACTTGTACTCCTGAGAGAGATCTGTACCACATATTGTTATTGGTGAGATTTAAGGTTCACTTAGAAGTAATCATTTGTTTGTCATTGTTGGCAAGCGGTCAAAGCCTGCCAGATTTTTGGGGTAGAAGTCTGATGCCATCAGGGCTGCACATTTATTTAGTTTGTTGATCATCACAATTTTGATCTTTGAAATATTGATATCTCAGGGATGCAAGGTTATTTTGACTGATAACACAGTCATTATTAGGTGATCAATTGTTAAAAAAACAAGCCTAAAATCAAAGAATGGTCCTATCAAAATACCAATTATAAAACTAATCATCCCGATTCTGAAATCCAATTGGCAAAGCTGCATTGCAGGCCATTGTAAAATACTTAATATATTAAGCACACTTAGCAGCGCGCACATCAACTGAATTCTGTATTAATGCACATATATATTAAGAAGTGTTCCTTGTATGGAGTGTGTAACGTAGTACTGATATGTTGGGCCAGACATCAGTGTGCATATGAAGTAACTGCTGCCACACTGCTAAGGAGTTCTATTCTATACCATGCTAAACCAAGCAGTGACTGAATGTACTTTGCATTGAAAAGTTGCATTGGTGAGATTTAGTGTGTTTATACATGCTATAACTGACTAATTATGAATACATTGATTTTTCACACACTGCACTGTACCAAGTCCAATTAAACAGCACCAATTATACTTTTTAATAAACTTTGCAACTGGTTAGTGTTTTTAAGGGCTGACAATATCCACAGTATGCTCAAAAAAAGCGTATTGTGTCATGATTTTTCACAATAATGTTAAAATTTTTCCTCTCCTGGAAAAGGATGGTATGCCCCCTCCAGGTAAGGGGAGAGGACCTGCCCCAGGTGGAGGAGTTGAAGTATTTTGGGGCCTTGTTTGTGAGTGAAGGGAATTGTGAGGGATGTGAGATCAGCCGCAGGCTGGGACAGGCGGCAGGCGGACTGTCGTGGTGAAAAGGCAGCTTTATAGTAGTGTACAGTATAGTATCCAGTAGGGGTGGGAATCTCTAGGCACCTCACAATTCAATTCGATTACGATTCAGAGGGCTGCGATGCGATTATAAAACGATTATCGATGCATCTCGATGCATCTTTTTTTTCTATACAGCATTTCTATTAACTCACTGTGTGAGTTCAAGTTTCAAATTTATTTGTCATTTGCACAACATGTCAGGACATTTAAGCATTGAAATGCTTGTGGTGAGGCTCAGCTAATCACTCTACAGAAAGTAAATAAGTAAAAATAAAAATACAAGAAAAACTAACTGACATATATTAAATATACACAGAATATAGAGACAATATACATTTTAAAGTGACTAAGTGACTCAGTGTTATTGCTATTTAAAGTGACTTGGTACTTTTAAAGCAAAGTATTTGTAATGATCCATAATAAATTTACTTCCAATATCTTTTTTAATAAATCAAATGGAAGTGATGTGGCAAGTAAACTAGAAGGCTCTCATTCAGTGCTCTTGTTTAGAGCACATGAGACGCTGCTGCTACTCATCTGCGATAAAATGCGCAGTTACGGTGACAACAGATCCAGTGGCAGTGCATGTCCACGCAGCATGTTACATCTATTCTACCCGTTTTCTTTAGTGATTTTATAACTTGGGTTTTGGTCTCGTTGTAGAGACGGGGGGATCGCTGTGTCAGTACAGTATCTTCGAGACATACATAGCACGAAAACCCTGTTTCGCAACGACTGAGAACCAGCGTGCAGACTGCAGGTCACATATCAGCGATGCGTTATTCGCATTTATAAGCAGCACAGTTGGTTTCCTGGTACGTTAAATCTCCAACAAGAGACTGTGAAACACTAAACGGTTACGAAGATGAACTCGCTTCTCTTTCGAATTCTCCCGTTCCACCTTAAATGGTGTCGCATTTACATTCGGCGCCTCAGTCAGAATTTAAGGTGGAACGGGAAAATTCGAACAAGAAGCTGGAGAATAAGAAGCGACTTCAGCCTCATAAAACAGTCTAACACATTTTACAATAAGCTGCTCTAGTTTTGAATAAAAGTTTCCTGAGGGAAAGGGGAGCAAAGCGGTAAATTCAGATTCAGAATCGTTCACGTCCGCATCGCGATGCATCTAAGAATCAATTTTTTCCCGCACCCCTAGTATCCAGTATGCAGCAGTTACAATCATGTACCATGCTGCAGTATCACTTGACCACCAGACAATTATGTTCCTTGTCAGTGTCCTTCTCAAGTGACCACATTGCATCAGAGGATGCAATATATCATGATGGTAGCTCTGGCTGCAAACGGAAATATCTGGCCAGAGCAGTACTGTGTTTCTTTGGTGTACTGGAGAAATTCATGTTGGTCACACTCCATAAGCTACTACATGTTACTTTTGGGCACAGTCAGTACTTGAGCTGTATGTATTAAGCTATTTCGAACACATCCATTGAGTCAATGGAGAGGGAGGTGCTTTTGGAGTCTTCCAAACTCCTGTCTGTGAGCATCCATATGTGGTTTTCATGTGTGCGGTGTATAGACTGTATATTCATCCCCAGCTTGTACTGAGGCTGTTGGTTCCTCTGTTTAGCCTGTAAACTTAGATGTCTCAGTTGTTATTGAGCTTAAGGGCCTCGCTAATAATATGATCGTTTGATTAATTGATTGGATGAGTTTTGATATCCATAGACCAACACATTGTGAAGAAATTATAATAATCTTCCTCAAAGTAATGGGTAGGATATGCCTATTGCTGCAGTTGGTCTTAAGGGACTCATTAATAACAGAATTTGTTGATTGGGTCAGTTTTGACCTGTGTGGAATAAAATCTTGAAGAATTATGAATAAATCCTGCTCATAGTAATGGGTGGGCTTTGGTCAGTGTTTAAATAAAAACTATTGATGGAGGTCAGTATTGTCTCTAGATGATAAGTAGGCACAGCATTGTTCATCTGGGGTTAAAGATTTGTCTTGACTAAGTCAGTCAGCTCTGTGAGATTCTGTGACATTTGACCTGTCCATATGGTTTAAGTAAGGGCTGACCTCAGAGCATGATGTTTAATGTATAATCCCAGTATTAGTATTATGTTCTAGCTGTCATTACCTAACCTCTTATCTATGCAAAGGCAACTTTACAGGAAAAGGACAAAAAACAAAAACAATTCTGTGACTTTCATGGATGTAAATGTATTTTGGGGCCACTTCTATTGGTCAGTTCCTCATGAAATGTTCACACAATGTAAACGACAGTAAGCGTTTTCAAATGGTGTACAGAAATAATAACAACAATTCAAGCTGCAGTAATTCTACCAATAATACATCATCACATTTTTCAAGATTGGTGCAATATGAAATTTTCATTGCATGTATGATTTGTATGTCTGTGGGCCTCTGCACGCCTGCTATTAGCATATGCAGAATTCCTCATACTTCTGCTCTGTGCTGCAGTGTGTCGGCACATAGGAGAAGCCACCCTTGCCCCCACCCCCTTCATTAATATGTATGTCTTCTGAATGGTGCGTGGCGTTGTGCAGCCACTGATTAATGCTGTCTGTCAATTGCTTACAGATCCGACAGTGCTGTGGAAGTTCCCCCAGGACTTCGGAGACCAGGTTGGAAACAGAGGAACTTTTTTTTTTTCCCCCCCTTCCCTCTCCCCCCTCCTCCTCCTCCTTCGCTCATTTCTGTTCAAATGAACCTCCTCACCTCATCCGCGACCCCTCCTTTTCTGTATGTCTTGCTCCCCTTCTCTCTGTCTGTCTCTGTCTCTCTCTCACTCTCTCTCTTTCTCCCTCCCTCCCTCTTCCCCACTTTTTCCTACCCCCCCACCACCTCACAGTGAGCTACTGCCGATAATGAAAAGCAGTGAGCAGGTCTTCAACTGACGTACGGGTAATTATCATGTGGCCGTGACAGGAATGAGCATGGATGGAGCTTCACACACTCGCAACCTTCAGCATAGCTGGGCTTCTTTCTCATCCGCCCGCCACAGCAGCGATGTCCCTACCAAAGACGTTAAGCCTTTTATTTTTCAATGCTTTGCTCGTGTCACGTTACACCACTCTTAAATCCCTCTTGAAAGAGCGTGTTGAAAACAGTGGGGGATCCTTTTGTCTCGTCTTATCCTAATAAAACATGTAAACTGATAAAATGTATCTTAATAGATAAATCCCATGCAGGCCATTGCAAATGGGTATTACAAGTGTATTATGTTCTATCCTCTATATCGAAGTAAGGGACCTACAGATTATGTTTGAGAGAATCAGATCATTTATCAAGCCTGTTACTTCTCATCATGTTTTTGTTTTTTGCAGATCTTGATTCTAATTGGCTAGAATTGCCCACTCATTTGTGTTGTGTGAATAGATAAGGACTTACTTCAGAGTATGAATGAACAACCGTGACCACCACCACCCCACACACACACACACACACACATCCTGCCTGTCTGTCCACATTTTATTTCTTCGTACTCACAGCCTAGACGCACTTCATAAAGCAAAACCATCATGGTGACAAAAGCAAGAGATCCTAATGTTGGTTTATGTTTATTATATCCACTATGGCTTTGCTCTGTGTATAATATTATGTAATTTGCACTGATGAATATTATGTGTCTGATTTTGGAATTGCAGCCGATAATTGCAATCAGGCTGTTCTTTTCAAAGATTGGCTCATGAACAAGCTGCTCAAGTGTATAGCATAGTGGATAACGTCACACAAAGCAGTAAGTCACTAGAGGCTGTACGTTACTGTGATTTTATCACGGGTAAAGAGTGTTGTTAGGCATGACACAAAGCGTCAATTTCTCAATAAATAGTTTACAGTAATTAATTAGAACTTCAGTGCTCAATTTTTTGCTCAGAAATGTGTTTGTTTTTCCAAACTGGGTTTAATATTACAAAAGACAGATCTAACCAAAACCAGAGACATTTGAAGCGTGTAAGACATTCAAGTACCATATTCTTTTTTTTATTATTATTTATTTATTTTATTTTTTTACAGTGACTCATCAGTAAGTATTTCAGTTCAAAGCCTCAAACCGAATATGAATGAAGGAGTAGTTCAGCCTGTTAATTATCGTTTAGCCTGTTTGGCCTGCTATCTTTTAGGCCAGTTGTTAAGAAAATAAGTTGTCGGTCTTTCAGCTTAAAAAAAAATGTGGTCTTTACTTCATCTGTCAGTACACTCTGTGTTCCGTGCCAACAGCATAACTGTTAATTCCCAGGACTATTTTTTTTTTTAATTAAATTGACACATTAGTGCAGAAATCATTTGCTGTAAAGTGGTGAATATGTTGAGTATTTTACAACAACTTTCAGTGCAGCTCAGTCAGATTTTAGTATCAGAACAATCTGTTTTATAAAGAAGAATTTATGTCCGTCCGAGCAGGATCACAACAATAAGAGTCCATGGGCAGAACTGCCAATGCCTACATTTGGCCTATTTACAAAAATGACCAAGCAGACGGCAAATCAAGGGAGAACTCATTGAAGGTTTCTGTTTATGTACATCACATGGCACAGCTGGGATTCAAACACAAATCCCAGGACTAAGACCCACCTCTGCACTGCTAAGCAGAGTATTTACTATTTAATTACCTTGGGGGAACCTCATTCGAAGGTATTTAATTAAATGTCTTAGGTTAATAGCACCTGTAAAAAGCCGTTTACTCCTGACTTAAACTGTTTCTCTGTCTCAATACCGTATCGTATTCATAGAAAGCCATATAGGATAGTTGTATTTCTTAATTCTTTCTTCATTCAAACTAGAACTGAGCCATAATTGGAGTCACTTTAGAATGAGTCATACTTGGCCTTAGAGCGTACTCGTTTGTTGTTGACCTAACTACGTAAGGCCGTGGTTGCTGAGAGTGAAGTGGTTCTGGCTTTTACGGCAGCATATTGTGGTCTGACATGGCTGCTGTTTGCTCATGGTCTTGAAAGGCCTGTTAGCAGTTCTTCGAGGACTAAACAGAACGGACTGTTGATCAAAAAAGAGACAAGAAGGAGAAACAAATAAGCGTAAACTACTTGGTTTAGTTCAGTCTAAATGGCTTTGCCTTTCTCATGCACTTTGAAGTCGGAGCATTTGCAGTGATGCTGCAGGCACTGCCTGCCCCACAACAACAATAAGCGCAAGAAGGAGAAAAACAGAAGAAGTGAAAAACTCACACATTATGGTTGGAGAAACTGGCTCATGCCTTCAGAAAGCATCAGCGGTGTTAAAGAAGTCTAGCCTACTTCTTTACACTGGTTTCTCCAATTTTTTCCTTTTCCTCTTTCTCCTTCTTTCTTTTTTTTTTTTTGATTAACGGGATCGTTTCTACGGTAGGACGGCGCTTTTGCTCGGTGTGTACAGATGGATCGGCCTTTTCCACGTCCACATAAAGACTCCCATTCAGTCGCCTCATTACCAGGATTAGGCTCCTTTTCCTCTTTGTGGAGCTGCTCCCTCTGTAGCCGGAGAAATCCCTTTTTTCCTCAAGTTAGCCAGCATATGGCAGCAGCAGACCCAATCTCTCCAGGCCCCCTTTTGTTTATCCTGTTATTGTTGCGGAGCGTAATGACAGTTGTAGGCCGTAGATAGGGGTGGAGGGGTTAGTCTTCCCCAGGGGAGCAAGAGAGAGTGAGCGAGAGAGAGAGAGAGAGAGAGCGGGAGTTAGAGAGAGGGAGCAAGGGAAGAGACAGACAGACAGCAGTGTGGATTATGGAAATATGGATTTTTTTTCTTCCCTTCTTCCTCTCTTCTCTTGCCTGCTCTGCTAGAATAGGGGCTCTAAATAAGCAGAGAACAGACTGGAGGCTGGCACCGAGGGGCGGTGAAATATGAAGTGCAAGGACCTCGGCCCCTGAGACTGCGCTGTAGTCCTGGTCATCTACAGCTGCTATGTGGAGAGGCCAGAGCGGCGGACATTTGAATTGCAGCAAAGCTGTTTTTTGCAAATGAAGGAGACAGATGGAAATCCGAACTCAGATGTCCACCCAAAACTTCAGAAAAAAACAAATTATGAAGAAATGGCAGGCCGGATGAGGTTTTTGTGTGTACGTTTTATGCCAGTCGTAGAGCTGTTATCTCAGTGTTCTTTTCGGAGGGTTGACTGGCATTCCTTGGAAACATTTTAAATCCACTGAAAGCCATTAAAAAGGATAAATTACTGGAAAAATAGGTGTATGTTAGTTGTCCTGTGTTAAATGTTACAGAAAATTCCCCATTTTGATGCCAAATGATGGCATTGGTGTCAGTTATAGATCATATTCATTCGGTGAGGCTGGTGACCCTTTACAAGAAGTCTTATCTGTTAGTCATATGTGTACTCAGGAAGTTACAACTAAAATTTTCTGGTAAATGTGGCAGCGTGTAGGCTCGACTAAATATGAAGTTGTCATGCAGTACATCAGAGGGGAGCCGTCAGGGCCTCTAAGCCTCCAGAGAAGACCTAATGATTCCATTTTGAAGTCATTTTTAGTTCATTATTTATTGTAATTATCATGTATTTTGTTGTTTTAAATTCTGCAAGTATTGTAGTAGTGCTCTTATTTAAATGTTCAGTTTTGGTCGTAAACCCAAAAGTTAAATTTCTGAAATGCCCCTACAAAAAATGATCCAATCAGGATTATTTTTTCTCCACGGGATCTAGGTGGATACAGCCAAGTGAGCTCTCTTAGTCTTAGTTAGCTGTCCATTTTAATACCAGTTTTAATGTACCCTCGTTCCCTAGGCCTCACCATTTCCTGTTGAGATAATTTTAGACACTGTCTTAAGGGCCATTTGGTTATTTATTATCTCATTTGACGCTTGTTAGATGAGCAGTCGGGGGGGGGGCAAGAAATTGAGTGAACATAAGTGTTGAACATAAGCAGCAGAACTCATTGTGACCTGATGTTTTTCACTTTTTCAATCCCAAAAAATGTGGGACAAAGCTGTTTATAAGCCATAGCAGTAAGCTACTATAAAATACAACTTTAAAACTCTAACTTCCAATTTGCTGGACTTTAGGTTGTAAACTACTCCACGTGTTATATACGACTGCCAATACACCACCACTTTACTCTGCTAGCTTGCTTGTTGGCATGATAAAGGCTATATGACTAACAACAACGAAATAAAAACATTACACCACAAATCTACGCCAAATTTATAGTCATACAAACTGATTATTCACAAGTTTTATGTACATGATGTTCAGGCGTCTCAAAAAAAAAGAAACCTCTTCCAATGTAAAGTTTTTGTGGCTAGCAGCTTAGCACACTAAGGCTAACCTGCTGAAACTTCCTGCCCTGTCCTCCCCTTGTGCTGCAGTTGGCCACTTGTATAAAACAGGTGAGTCAAAGTTGGCAAGGGCATGTTAAAAAAAAATATTTAAGTGTTGCCTGTGACCTCAGGAGCTGAACAGAAGGCCTAATGTGTCAGATAAACCACTAACATAGTTAGGAACTGACAGTACAGTCGGCCAATCGGATCTGACTTGCAACGGGTGGGACCAATTTAATCAGAAAAAAAGTTACTCTAGACCTTCTGGGAGTCCTAGATTCATCACTGACTGTGATTATGTGTGGTGCCCTGACCAATGAATTTCAGTAAGACATTAGAAATGGAAAACTCTGTCCTA